ATATGCATGCATGCATACTTCACTGAGAGGAAATTGTATGTAGAACAAAAAATGTATTAAGTCTTATAATGACGCATTTTAATCCCTTTTCTCTGCGATCAAGTTTATTTTTTTAACTTTATTCAGAATGTAACGCCACGGATAGGACATTCGCATGGAACTGTATTGGTAAGCACCCTTGATGGTCAGTTGCAGGCATTAAATATGGAGGATGGATCAACAAAGTGGACATTACAAGAAGGTAGTGCAGTCTGATTATTTTATTAATGCAATGGTTTGACTATCTGCTTGGTTTTTTCATTGTTAATATTGGATCAACTCTGATTGAGCGATAGGTATTTGATTGTATGTGACCCAATTTCGAGTAATAAGCTGCATTCAAAACGTCTAAAACAATACTTCAGGACGCCACACCGCGTAACATTACAAAGAGTGAACAGAACTCATTTTTGGGTTCGCTCTTGGTTTTTATGAAAGAATTGCTTCTTTAAAATCACATTGTGTATTTCTTTGTATAAGATAGCGTGTTATTTGTTATCGCATTCTATAATGTTACAAATTGAGTTATTCCCCTCATATCATTACTTCATTGAAATGTAATCGCCATCTTACTCTATAGTATTATTATAGTAATACAGTAAAAATGTTCCTTTTGCGTATCTTCAAAGAACCTATTCTCAAGTTTCATGTTGATTAATATCTCTAAATGATAACTACCGGATAACATAAAATTATCTTTTCTTGCTTTTTGTGAAAATTCTATCAGAGCTACTTGGAACCAGTTAGTTTATCATTCTTACTTATCTATATTGATTACTTCATTATTTAATCTAAAGCATAGAAGTTAATGGTGAGGTATTGTTTGTACATATCAATAAGCATCTTCTTGCTATGTCATCAGATATTGAGATACCATTTAGATCCTGTTCTACGTGCGCCAACTACTGTGAAACAAGGTTTTACATTTCTGCCCAATCCTCAAGATGGTTCACTTTATGTACTCAAGGAGGGTATTTTAAAACGATTACCATTAAGTATACCAGCCTTAGTGCATGCTTCTCCACTCAAAAGCACTGATGGAGTTTTATACGCAGGTTGGCTTTATTGTTGTGTTTCGTTTTTTATGCTTTTAAAGTGATCTAATCATAACCATTGTCTGTACATTTTAATCATACTTCCCTGTACTAGAATAGCTATAATATTTAGTCCTTTGAAAGCTTTTTTAGGTAGCAAGAGAGACGTTTGGTTGGAAATTGATCCTCTCACCGGCTCTAAAGTGAGTTGGCCGTGTTTTTGTTAGGATTGAAATGTCGTTTGTCGCCTAGGTGGAGACAATGTCAGCTACGAATGACAAAGTATGCCCAGCTAACAACAAGAATGCTATATTTGTTGGTCGAACTGAGTATCGGGTAAATTATTCTATTTAATTGTAAAGCAGTTGCTTTTGTATCATTCTATAAATTGCGTTCTTACACCGTTAACGTCTTGGCCTTTTTTGAAGGTTTCAGTTTATGTAGCAACCATTATCTGCAAAATACCTGTTCGAATTTGTTTTTTTTTTCAAATTTAAAGCTCTTGCTCATCTCCTCGATCATTTCCTTTAAAAAGCTTTGCTTGATAGGGCTCTATGGGATTGAAACAGCGCTTCTGTATTAATAATTGTCAGGTC